CTTATTTTTACTTTAATCTGAGCCGGTCACTTGTGCCCTCGTGTGAGGGAACTTTATTGTGCTAACGGTGTGTGCGTTTTACAATGTAAGCATACAAGATCTTATCACAAAAAACTCTCCAAAAGCTTTATTCTAAAAAGCTCAATTTTATTTATACAAGAGGTATGTATCAAAACCAGCTAAATTGATAACGGTTTCACAGAACACTTGAACACTTGATATTTTTTAGCTGATAAAGGCAGAAACATTTGCTATCCATTTACGGAAAAGCGCTTCGACAAAAGAAAGTTTCGCACACTTACCTTAAGAAAGGCATGCCAGGTACCCCCTCCTTGTTAATAAAAGCCCTATCTATTTGTAGTAAGCGATCATTTATCATTCTCACTTGTAATACACTAAGGAAAAAAAATCAAAATTTCGTTTAAGCCATATTGATTTTGATATAGAGCGCATATGATCGGCCGTATACTCAACATCAGTTTTCTAGGAGCGGCTACTTGAACAACAGAGCTTGACGTGTTTTTAAATAACTATGTCATCGTTTCCAGTGTTGCTAGCCCCTGGGGAAAGTGACGTCACCCAACTTGCCCCACGCACCCTTTCTCAACCGCTACCCCAATCCCTCTCTGGTTGCAGACATTTTACTAGCTAAGTAACTTAATGTACCATGCACATCATCAGACGAAAACAAAAAAGAAAAAAACACTTTCTAATGTTGCTATAACCGGTTATGGTAATACTCCAATTTAAGCATCCGATCCCACGTGAAATTCGTAGGGCCATGAAATATTTTCTCAAATAAACACATGAATAAAGCACTGTTTCCAACTTGCGCTGCGACACATCGCGGCGACAAGTCGCCTCGTCTGCACTGCTGCTATGACAAGACACTTGTTCGATGTACGCAAGCGAATTTGGAAGAGGGGAAAAATGAACTAGTTTCCAAATTTAAATAATTGATGCTCCCTCATTGGTTGATTTAAATTTTGTCGCAGCGACTTGTCGCAGAAGCGTACACATGTTGCGACAAGGCTGCCTGCGCTTTTGTTGCTACGATATGTCGCACGAATTCAAACCAGTCTGAATTCGTGCGACAGATCGCAGCGACAAAATTCTGTCGCAGCTACAATGATTTTCACATGTCAGACGAGGCGATTTGTTGCAGCAACCTGTGGCGGCGACGTGCCGCAGCGATTTGTCCAACAGTGTGTCCCAGCTTTAAGGAGATTGTTGTCAGTCTGGTCCCTTTGTGTTTTTCTAACAGTAACGTAATTAAGATGTGATATACTTTCTACTCACTCTTTCTTTTCCTGTTTGCGTAAACACTTCTTAAACATTTTTGCAGTGGTCAGGAAATTTTGAGAGACGTTTAACAAAATGTCTGTTGACAAAGAAATAATTGAAATCAAAAAAGCAAGCAAAACAAAGAAAACTATCGATTTTACGTCATTTTAAACGAAATTGTTCCAAATGACATACCTAGTGAAATATTGTTTTCCTTTAAAATACCACTGTAGCTTGTCGATAAATCAGTGCCAAACGTGCACAGGGCGTCTGCATAGCGAGTCACGTCAAACGGCACTAAAACTGAGCCTGCGATATCAAAGGTCATTTGTAGCCAAACTTGCGCAAGCGTCCTATAGTATTCAAAGGTGTCAGGGATATCGTAGGGCGGGTGTTGTAGTGGGTAATTCAAAGAGTCCTGTTGAACAAAACAAGTCTGCGTATAACTACAGTTTCAGTATTATTATTATTATTATTATTATTATGATTATTATTATTATCATTATTATTATTATTTACTTTTGCTAAATAGCTCGGCCACAATATACCAGTCTTATTGGGCTCTTGCACTTTTTCCGTTAGTTAGTTCGTTGTAATAGGATTCCATACTTTCCAGTTTGGAGTCAGAGGTATTATTTTAACTCGATTATTCCAAAACTGAACTAGGACATATGGGTTACTGACCAAGTGTACACAGCAGAGACACGCAAGAAAAAAGAACGAAATCAATATCCAGCCATCTTGACCGAACAAGCTTGGTCAATAAAGGATTTGCTATACAAAAAAGGACACAAATTTCTTGCGGGGCACAGCGGGTAATCCCGAGGGGGCAAGATTGCCCCATCTTGCCCGCTCGGGTAGCCAATCACAGCGCAGGATTCGTCTCATCTTGCCCGCTCACGGAGCTAGCCATATAACAAGTTGCTGTATTAACTGTTGTTTTGAGCATTATCGAGACAATTTTAAACCAAATTGACAAATAATCTTGAAAGTGCCTGTATGGGATTTTGGGACGAACAATGTAACTATAACTGGTAATAAAACCCGAGAAATGTATTCCCTACCCGAGGCTCTCTTTCATCGAAGGACGCCAATAGAACCTAAAACTTGCAAGTTTTTCAAAAGAGACTATTATCGATAAAGCAGTCGAGACACTTTTTTTTGGAAAATGACACCTAAAATCTTAACCGCTTTCATGAATTTAGTAGAGGTGGTTTTCTAATACCCTTTATCCACAACATTGTTCGGGGGAATGGGAAACAAATCTGTCCCCAAGACACTCGACAATAGCCTTTGACAAGCATTGACGCGTCTCAGCACTTCTGGCGCTCATTGAGGTTAAAAAGCTAGTATTGCTGACGTGATATATCCTTGCGAGCACACCAGTTTTGCAATTTTAACCTAGAGCTAGAACTGTTTTCAGTTGGGTGGCGTAAAACCAAACCCAACGTTATCACTCTAGCTAGTCACAAAGGGGCCAATCTAAACTCGAAGCAATGTAACAGACGCGAACCGCAGTTAAATGTGGGTGAACGAGTAACCATTGGTTTTGGTTTTACTTCTGAATCGATAAAAAAAAATTGGCGCGAGTTTTTTTTTTTTTTTTTAAGCCAATCGCGTAGCGTAGTAATGCAAAACCAATTACTTTCCGAATTCGACACTCAATTGAACATACGCTCTATTCTTCGTCTCGTTGTTTATGTACAACTTACGTTATTAAGTTGATATGAAAGATCTGCACAAGGAACACCAATTCTGTATGCAAAAGGTGAGCAGCCACTCCCTCTATTTATGGATAAGAGGCTGAAAGGCAGGAAGGTACCCTCAGTCTGAAATCTCAAATGACACTTCAAAAGTGCTTTAGTGATACCTATTCAATAAGGGAAATCAAGAGAGCGTCCTCTCCTGGTGATCAAATATTCATTTTAGTAGGTGAAAATGCTTGTGAAATAAACAGCCATAAGGTTGGGTACTGACAAATCATGATTAGTTATTTATGCCACAAAACGCTTACGTATGAAATGCTCGGTGACACCTTCTGGAAGAATGGATGAATAGAGATTGTAAGTTGGAAATTTCTGTTAGAAATTTCTGTTAGAGAATCCTATCTACGTATAATAATATCAGAAACTAACCTATTCTGAAAAAAAAAAAAATTGCACAATGACAAATTAAAGCTGGCGTGTCAGCACTCATCGTCTTACATAGTCAAGCATAACTGTTATCAAGCATACCCGTGCTGTTTTCCTGTTTTATCAGGATTTGCGTCTTTCCAATCATCGTGCAACGTCCTTGATTTGTTCCGTGGTGAGGCCACCTGCCAAACAATAGAAAGGTGGGGAGGTTGCGGACCTAGGGTATCACGGAACAGATGTGAAGCCACTGCTGTATAATTTTTTTTGTTTTGTTTTATAAAGGCTATTTTAAAAGTCTGCGTAAAATGAAATAGTCTTGATTTTTTACAGGAATATCTTTTATTTTTCATTTAGCCGTGGTAAAAAAGAAATATCAAACCTTCCAAAAGCAGCTTATTTCATGCTTTAAATTTTGAAGGGTATTCGGTGCATGTTCATTCCGTCAGTATGCTGTATGCCGTTTGTCGTTTTTCTGCTTATAGGCGACGGCTTTTGTTCTGGAAGTCGTAAGAAAAGAAAGAGAATGATAGCAGTCTATTTGGTTATGGCTGATTTTCATTTAACCGTTGTCTTTAACCCAGATTGCACAGTATTGCGCTTGTGGGCCTACTCGTAAAACAAATCACAGTAAGAGAGTTTGGCAAATTAAGTGAGTAAATAAAGAATGCAATATGCGTGCTGTCTTGCGCATGTGAATAATCACAGGGGTGAGTAAGTACTTTTGGAAGGTTTGTATTCTAACGTCCTGATTTGAAAAGTTGGTCGTAACGCTTCTGCAAGGCAAAGCCTTTAATTGAGACTGAGGCCCTGACATATGTAGTGTTAAATTCTCATTGACCTCAGTCAGATACTCAGGTGACTCACCTTTTTCATGGCTTTAAGAACTGTTTTTTCCAGTAGAGGGTTAGACGTCACGACAAATTGTCCTGTTTAACGAAACATTANATAAAAGAAAATAAACCATTACTTATCTTACTTTTTTAGCTCCATTATGTTGGGGACACTTGCTTAAACGTTTTAAGAAGGCAATCACAACAAGAATAACCTTTAAACAACAACGATAATCTTTAATTTCCTTTGTTTCCGACCACAGAAGGCGATCTTGAAAAATCAGCCCACATTTCGTCTGTCGTTGAAACTGCACACGTATTTCTTTCTCTCACAAGCATTGTTTGCTTTATTTCTACCTCATAGCCGTTTTCATACCTTACTTTGTTTTGTTGTTGTTGTTTGCTTGTTTTTTTGTTTTGTTTTGATGAGCGTTTAATTACTTTTTTTCCTATGAAAAGATTTCCTTCGATTTGAAAGTAATCCAGTACACGGCGTTATATATCATGATCAGGTCTTCCAATAAAGTCAATAAGTTCTGACATGAGATTATCCTGCTAACATTAACTGCTGCCGAAATAGATCGGAAAAAACGACATACGGCTATGCGAGAACAAATAACCTAGAAAATGGCAAAACCCATCATCAGATTCATTAGACGCACTCACAAAACCTGAAAAACTCTGAGCGACGGGTATTGTGATTACATTGTAAAGGTGTTTTTACAATAAAAATATTTTTTTCTAATGCTATTTAACAGGCGATGCACAACAGCACCTTTCTTCCGCATGGACAGTAAAATTCTGGCGATTTCCATGACAACTGCAGTTCCACCAGACGGACGGCGGCTTCCAAGTAAAACGTACCGATCTGTTAAGATATTTGTTCAATATTCCGTTAAGTTTTCAATGATTCCAATATCTTCTTAATGTTAACCACGCATTTTGTTAGGTCTAAGAAGATGGTCGTTACTAAAGATGGAAGATGTTTTGTTGTTTTACTTCGTCACCTATCTTCTTATGTATGAAGTAAATTAGTACATTTGGTGACTTTTTTCACAGACTTGTTTGAAAACGAAATATTTCGTTGACTCAAAGTAAGAGAAAAGCAAGCTGCAGAAAAAACTCCAAGGTAAGTCCAAAGAATTAATGTTTCTTTCACTAAAATTGAAATTCTCACGGTAGTAGTTGAAAAGTAAGAAAGAAGTATAGTTGTAGCGAAATAAAATGTACCATGTATGTAACTTACATGTTTATGCAACTTATCTATAATAAAAAAGAGCATTGTAATTAGCCAACTGTAATTTAATGAGCGTGATTGTATATGTATTGAGAATAATACATGTATAAATAGTGCAAGTAGTAAGTATAGTGTAAGTGTAAATGAAAGTATAATATAAGTACTGTAAGTAGTGTAAGTGTTCGTCCTGTAAATAAATTTGCATTAAAAAAAAAAAATTGAAATTCTGTTACGTCTCCCCTAAATCTCTGTCGTTAACTAAAGTAATGAAAAGACTTTCTTTTCTCACCTGGCTCTATTTTTCCTTTGATAGTTCCCACAACATCACAAACAGCTCGTTTAACAAAGGAAAGACTCACATTTATGGTAATGTTTCTGTGGTAGAATCAAAATTATACATATGAGTTATTGACCAGGCGTGAGGTCAATATGGCTGGATATTGGCCATGCACGCTGTGTTTTTTTTTTTTTTCGTGTTTGATGAACGAGACGGAGTCGAGGTACATAAACTCGCAACAAAAAGAACGAGGCCTCGACCGAATAAGCTTGGTCATGAAAGGATTTATTATATAGAAAAAGAACAATATTTTCACTTGTCAGTTTGCGTCAACATACCTTGGGTCACTTGGGTCCATCTGTATTCCATATGAAAAACCCAGATTACCCTGCCAGTCTTGGGGCGCATGGGTATGGTTCAACATTCTATTTTTAAGAGATTATAATAACAGAATAGGTTATTAAAATAAGTAACTCATTTTTCACCATGAAAAATTAAACCAGTGTAACAATGTAGTAAGTTCTTCGAAATTATTTTTGATGTGACCTCGTGTAGATATTTGTTTTGTTTCCTAATGCTTTGCATCCTCCTCCGCCCTCTCCTTTGTGGCTTGCGTTACAGTCTATGATAACTAGGACCGATGGATCTTCTTAATTTTCAGACCATATGTTCCACTGTAAGTGAGTATTTACACGAGGACAAAACGAGACCCGTCTGATTGAAAGCATCATTCTGAGCAATGCAAGGCAATTGCTTGCAAACCGTACACACAGTTAGAAGCTATGGTGTTAAAGTTTCTAATTTAATGCAAGGCAATTGCTTGCAAACCCTACACAAAGTTAGAGGATATAGTGTTAAAGTTTCTAATTTAATGCAAGGCAATTGCTTGCAAACCCTACACACAGTTAGAAGCTATAGCGTTAAAGTTTCTAATTTTGAGCAAAACAATACCTTACCTTAGTAATGTCTCAGCGTCTCTGCGTGATATCGGCTGAACAGGAATCTTGGGTAGTGGAATATCATCTAAGGACTCTCTATATATTCCAGCTTATAAATGTATAACGAACAATTCAATATCATCAAAAAAGTTGTATATAAAGAGTTTTGCAAACTTTCTATCGACAATATCTAAGAATTTAGGATGGAGTTTAAGCGAGTAAATCTTCCATATAGGCCTTATTCTGAAGGTAATCATTTGGCTCAAACTACTATCTTAAACATACTGCAGAAGATTTGTGACACATCTTTTACTCCTGACACC